ACATAGGGGAACCAAAAGATTCCACAAAGATACTATTAAAACTCATAAGAGAATTCAGTAAAGTTGTAGGACATAAATTCAACATACAGAAATCTTTGACCAGTAGGATGTTAGTAGATACAAAATGTATAGGGGCTTAATTGGTACTGCAAGTTGGAGCATCTTCTCTTGCACTACTACCATTTTTTGTTCTGAAAATGTGCTTTGGGCAGCTGCAAGAGTAGGAGGATGGGAGAGTCACTGAGCAGTCATGAATCCCATCTGCAGTTCAGAGCCAGTCTCACAAGAATCCAGTCTACCTCAGCGAGGTTTTAGTCCTTCCACCTGTACATGAACAAAAAGGCACGCTCACAAGTCCCAGGTTACTTTTTTGGTGCCAGATGGAAATCTCTTGCATCAATAGCCCACTGGACACATCCTCTGTGTGCACTTCCAACTGCAAATGCTGGAGTTTCCTGCAAGTCAGTTACTTCTTGAATGTGATGTTCACTCTTGCTATTAATGATTAATACACGATGTTTGTTTTCCAGAATTGCAATTATGTGCCATGAATCTTTTATAAATAACCGACTATAACACCATTGGTTAATAATTTCCAAGGTCGGTGTACACCATCTTAAATACTGAAAGAACTGGAGATCCTACAAGTTGTTAAGTAGTTGAAGTATGAAATATATACATAATGCACTGATGGCATTATCACTAATGGCATAATGCACTTAGATCGTAAGTCTAAGAAGAAGTGTGTGTGTGTGTGTGTATGAGTGAGAGAGAGAAACTTCTACTTTCTAACTTTCCCCTAAACACAGATTCTGAGTCAATATGAAAGCATCTGACAGCACTAGATAAAGATGATTACAGCAAAGAATTTAATCAATAACACTTTTATCTCAGCAACACACATTATCTTTCACCTTTGAAAATGATTTGCATAAATGTCTATTCTTAGCTAATCTCAGAGTAAATAAAGACCAAGCTGTCTGAAGTCAGGAAAACACTAGAGGAGAAATAGCAATTTTGAATGTCAAGCGAAGTCTGTGATCAAGACCAAGTCATGGGGGTTTCCCTGATGACAGAATACTGCAGGATCCCACCAGTCACATTAATGTAATTTGTCTCAGCAACTCTGCATGCACAGCTATCTTATCTCTTAGGAGAAAACATTAAAGCTGAATCGAAACACATGACTGACAAAGTAATAAAATAACGTTCTGAGGAGGTGTTATGGCACAGCCACTGCTTGAGAGGCTTGCATCCCAAATCAGAGTGCCTGGGGTTGAGTCCCACCTCTGCTTCTGATTCAGCTTCCGGCCAACACTCTGAAGTGGGAGACCTGGATGGAGTCTGATTCTTCACTTTGGCATGGCCTGGTTCTGGTGTTAAAGGCCTCTGGGAAGTAAACCAGTAGATGGGAGACTCTGTCTCCATCTCTCTGTCTCATCCCCTGGCTCCACTGTTGCTATGCATTTCAAACAAACAGATGAATAAATAAAATATAAGTCTTTAAAGAAAAAAAACTTCAATCTATAATGACTAATCTTTCATCAATAATTTAATTTGTACATAAGAATGACTTCAAACTAGCATTTAGGAATTTAATGATTTTATTTAAAAATGTTATGCTTGAATAGTGTTTGAGAGTCAGTAGAAGGACAGGTTTTACTTTTTAAGACTTTAATTGGCTAGCTGGAACAATGAATACTTCCCCTACATATTTTAGGTAAGTGGGTATAATTTCCAGGGAGGAGGTGTTGTGTCCAAGGCAACCACCAGACCCGACATTGGAGTTGGGCAAAACTGGTTAAAGGGAATCTTAGTCTCTTGGCCATGAGGTTGTACAGCTTGCTGGCATTCAGAGACCCTTACCATGGAATTATCACAGGTATGAGGAAGCTTTTTGATTAGGAAGTAGGAAAATTGACCCATGCATGTAAGAAAGTGTGCCAATTTACATGTGGGATTCTTTCCCAGCTGCACACATACAGCAAAATCACTGAGCTAGCATGGGGCCAACATTGCAGCATAGTGGGTAAGACTGGTGCCTGCAACACCAGCATCCCATATGGGCACCAGTTCGAGTCCTGGCTGCTCCACTTCTGATCTAGTTCCCTGTTAATGTGCCTGGAAGGCACTAGAAGATGGCCCAAGTGTTGGGCTCCTGCCACCCACGTGGGAAACCCAGAAGAAGCTCCAGGCTCCTAGCTTTGGACTAGCCCAGCCCTGGTCTTTGTGGCCATCTGGGGAGTGAACCAGTGGAGGGAGACCTCTTTCTCTCTGTCTTTCCCTGTCTGTCTGTGTGAACTCTGCCTTTGGAATAAATAAATAAATCTAAAGTAGATTACTGAGCTAGCAATTATAGAATCTGAAATCTCCACATTCTGTCGAGGTCTGTTTTTATTGTTCTCCTGTAATTTGAATGGCAACTTTTGTAAGTTTCAGCTAGCTCTAATGGGCTAAAATTATAAGAGGAAAGGTATCAACTAGATTTCCTACTTTAAAGAAAGAGGGCACAGACTCGAGGAGCCCTGGGCTGTGCTGGGATCCATGGCCTTGGGAGTCAAAGGCAGAACCTTCCTCAACTGGAAGGTGTTTCCGGGAAAAGGAAACCCTCCCCATGTTTGTTTACCATTGCTATGAGGAAATACCTGAGACTGGGTGCCTTGTAAAGAAACTGTCAGCTCATGGTCCTTGAACATCCAACCAGCACGGGCACTGGCTCTGGTGAGGGCCCCTCTGGCTGCACGCCATCACAGTACATGGTGATGTAGTGGGGGCATGTGCAGGAGGGAGAGCACACGGTGAGACAGGAAACAGAGGCAGGGCCAGGCTTGCTCCTTCATAGCAACCCTCTCCTGAGAACTAACCAGGGTCACCTGAGAGCCTCACCAATGCCTCCTGAAGGCAGCCCTTCCCATGCCTAATACTTCCTGCCTCTTACACGTACCACCACCTCCCGAAACCCCCACATGGAGGGCCAGGCTCCCAGCTCACGGACTCCTGGGGGACCATGCCAAACTGTATGCAGACCACAGCTTTCCCCATCTAAGAATCTGTCTTTCAGCACTGCCCATTGAGAATCCTTAGGGAACGTGTGTGTGTTTCTCTGCAAGTATACTGAAGTAATAGTGCCAGTTTCCTGATGGGGTTCTGTGTACCTTTAAGGGACTATTTATTTATTTATTTATTTATTTTTTGACAGGCAGAGTGGACAGTGAGAGAGAGAGACAGAGAGAAAGGTCTTCCTTTTCCGTTGGTTCACTCCCCAATGGCCACTGCAGCTGGCGCACTGCGGCCGGCACACCGAGTGATCCGAAGGCAGGAGCCAGGTGCTTCCTCCTGGTCTCCCATGTGGGTGCAGGGCCCAAGCACTTGGGCCATCCTCCACTGCCTCCCCGGGCCACAGCAGAGAGCAGGACTGGAAGAGGAGCAACCAGGACAGAATCCGGCGCCCTGACCGGGACTAGAACCTGGGGTGCCAGCGCCACAGGCGGAGGATTAGCCTAGTGAGCCGTGGCGCCGTCCTAAGGGACTATTTAAATAATACCTTCTGTACCTTCTGCAGCTAAATAATTACTTACAGGTTTGTTCACTGCATTTTTGAAAGCACGTGTATTCTTTTGTATAAAGTCAGGATTGCTAAAACAGATCTAAGAAGAGTGTTTATGGACGGAAACAGTGTACAACTCCCAATCTGTGAAGTGGAAGCATCCACCCTGCACGGACAGCACATGGTGCTCCACCCACCACCTGCTTTCTTCTCACTTTGTCACACTGCCTTTATGTAGTGGTCGAGAAGTCCCTATCTGTAAGAGCTTCCCCTTCTTGTCTTAAACTGTGAACGAGCAGCTTATTTTAAGCAGTGCGGTCTTGGACATTCTCCGCTTAGCATAGTTCTCAGAAAACAATTCAGGGCATGGAAATCTGAGCAAGTGCAGGGGAGGAACTGGAACAGGAAGACGAAGCCAGCAAGAGAGCAACAGGAAAGCTTTTGAGACTTTCTAAAAACTCTCGTGGAGGCGATGCTTAGTGCTTACGTGTGTTTGCGGTCAACTAGCAGGAAAAAACTTGCTTTTTTATTTTTAGCAAAAAACTAATACAGTATCTGAATGGCAGCAAAAACCCTCAAATAATAGTACCTGAATGGGCTAATAGAATAATGGTTGTTAATAACAATGTTACTGGTAACAAGATGATAATTATCAAAGCGACCGTGCACAAGTGTATTTTTACCTGTGGAACCTAATCTATCTATATTCCAGAATTTCTTTTTAATAAATGGCAAAGGTGTTTTACCAATATCCTTCATTCTCTCTGAACACTGACACTTAGAAATGAGAAACACTGAAATGTGCCTAGTCTCACACTGCTAGATCATCATGGGTTGCTAATAATTACTTTTAAAAAGGAGAATTATGAGCTCACATATTGACACACTGAATAATGATTACATTTGGTCAATTTGATTATCTGGCTATGCTGGGCACAAACATGCAGCATGAATTATTGAGACATTGGAAATGTCTGCTAAACTGGAGCATTGTGTGATAAATAAACAGTGTTAGACACATAAATCTCAATTTTGTGATATCTTGGGATTCCATCTGAAGCATTTTTTGTGCTTGCAGTATTAACCAAATCCCCTGAAAGTTATTGATAACCTGATAAGTCAAATGTGTTGGTATACACACTAAATTTGTAACAGTTCTCAAGAAGAATATTTAGGGATGCTAGACTTCCAAAGCCTCACATGCAGGGGTTAACATGATAGATGCTCATTTGCCTGAATGGCAAAGGCAGAGACAAGAAGTTGGGAGACCTGAGTTATCCCTTAGCATGTTCTCCAGGTGCCACCTTGTCATGGGAAAGTCATTTCATAACTGATCAGTTTATTTTCTCTAGAAAAAGTGATGAGCACAAAGCATTCCTGAGGTTTTTCCCAGTTTCTTTGCTAGGCAACTACTGGAGTACTGTGCAGCGGTGGAACGCAAGCCCGCCCTTACCATTCTGTTCCCGCTGCACCCCTGCTGCCAGCAGGTCCGGCTCCCCGAGGCTGATGTCGTTGAGCCGCGTCCCCAGGCACTCCATGCACAGATGCTTGCACCACTCCTCCGCCTCCAGCTCTGAAAAGGAGACACAGCAGCGAGTCAGCCACGCTCCACAGGGCACGGGGAGGGAGGCTGCCAGGGTCCTCTCCCAGCAACTGGCCAGTCAAACATCTGCCTTAGGACAACAATAAAAACATATTCAGGAGGTGAAAAATGACCCTACAATTATTTTTTGTTGGTGGGCAACATATTTTCAAGTGCTTTTAAGTTAGTCCACGGTACTTTTCTCATTTACAAATCAATCTGAAAACATTTGTTTCCTAACTAGATTGATTTAAATTTTGGGAAGACATTGCTGAGAAAAGCAAAAATTAATAGTTGAAAAATGTCAAACTAAATCAGGCAAGTGAATATTTTCCTGAATTTGACTTAATTTGTGTTGGTTGAAGGTTTTATCTTCAATTCATTCTGAGCTGCAATGGATCATTTTTCTTTTTGCAAACATCAAAAAAATCAGTTATCCTTTAAGAAAATTAGTGTAGGATATTACAAGTATCTTTGCTTTCAAAAGTTCCAATTAAAACAAAGATGTTTCTTAGATTATTATTCATTTTACTATTATTACCTGCCCCCCCCATTTCTTTACATTCATGGAGATTTTCATCTTTGCTTGAAACATTAGAGTATCTTCTATCCACACAGAATGAAAAGTTTTCACATGCTTCTGAAGTAGGCAGGTGTACTCTAGTAGGCCAGACCTACGAGATGAGCCTCTGGAAAGTCCAGATGCCGAATGGTTTACTGATGGCAGCAGCTATCTGAAGGAAGGAGTTAGAAAGGCAGACGATAGAAGCCCAAGCACTACCACACAATACTTCAGCCCAAAAGGCGCAGTTTATTGCATTGACTAGGGCTTTACAGCTGGGAAAAGGCCAGCGAGTTAATATATATATATATTACAGATTCCAGATATGCTTTCCTTGTGTTACATACACATACAGCATCTGGAGAGAGAGGGGCTTACTGGCCCCTGTTAAATATGGAAAAGAGATACTGGCTCTACTTCAGGCAGTACTGGAGCCTTTAGAAGGGACATCAGAAGGGGGATAACTATGTTAACCAGAGAACTGCACTAGCAGATAGAGCAGCTACACAGGAGAGTTTGGAAATGGCCCTTATACGTCAATCTGTGGAAGCGGCTAAGGAACCTCACTAAACAGAGCCTGAGAATGAATGGGCCCAACAGAGATGCTATACTAAAAACACAAATGGATGGTGGATGCTAAATCATAGAATTATGCTACCAATGGCCACTTAGTGGAAAATTATTAAGGAGATACACAACTCTACCCACTTGGGAAGAGATGCCTTAGTACAACTGGTCTCCTGAGCTTTTGGAGGAAAGGGACTAAATACAGTCATAAAGGAAGTGACTCGCTCCTGGCCTCTATGTTTACAGAATAACCTTCACCACGTAAGGCCACCTCCCCTGCTGACTCCTGTGCAGAGGAGGGGAACATAAACACTGAAGACTGGCAGGTTGATTTTACCAATATGCTCCCAACAAGCAATTATAGGTACCTTCTAGTCTGTATTGACACTTTTACAGGATGGATAGAGGCCTTTTCGACCCGAACGGAGAAAGCACATGCGATGCTTAAAGCCGTGTTGAAAGACATTGTGCCATACTTTGGACTCCCACGGTCACTCCAGAGTGACAATGGACCTTCATTTATATCTAAAAGAACCCCGCAGAACCCAGCAGCTTCTGAGAATAATGATGACCATGCAGGAGACACTGAGAATGCTGGTGACTGAAAGAGCTCCGGCTCATGAAGTGAACTCATTAGATGAGATAGGCAGAGACTTCCAGACCGAGAACAGGCAGGGTCTGCGCCCCTAATCAGCAGGAAGTAGCTACAGAAGATGGAGACTCGACGCCCATCAACATCCCCTTAAGATTAAGGTCTGAAGTCTCTGAGGGGGAATGAAGTAGGCAGGCAAACAGGCTAAAATTGTTAGACTTGTGAACTGGAAGACCACGCCTTCGCCATGCCCCTGTGTGGCCTCATGCCCCTACCTGATGCCTTTGCCAGGCCCCTGTGTGGCCACATTCCTCTACCTGGCCACACCTGGGTGCCCACCAGCCAATCAGGTTAATTAACCACTCTCCTTTGGAAAGTGGGTTAAAAGCCAGGACATGGTGTGGCCCAGTGCAGGGCTCTTCTTCCCTGGCCTCTTGTCAGGAGGGGGCTTGCTGTAGCCTCCAGGGCGCATGGCCTTTGGGCCATGTGCTCTAGGCTTCCTGGCCCAGATACAGGCCTAGTTGCTCTTCCACATGGCTGGTTCCTGGTGCTCGGTATGAACCCCTATTCACCTCTCTCCTAAATAAAGCTCTCACTCTCCTATGCATCTTTCTCACTAAATAAAAGCTTAAAACGTACCATGCTACCTCGTTTATCTGTGCCGGTATTTAGAATTCTTCTCTAAATATTAGGCAAGAACTCTCTTGGGCTTATTAATATTGGGGATTTAGTAATAAGTCCATGGTGAAATCGTAAGGCACCCCAAATTCCGGTAGCACATGTGGCACCCAGGATAGCATTTCTAGGGAACTTTAAAGGGCCACATTTTAGTGTAAATTTTAGGGGGTCTTGTCCGATTTCACTTCCATTCACATTAATGAATTTGACTCTGATAGGCCGAACAGCAAGTGAGGTGGCCAAGGGTGGGGGTCATTCCTGTGTTCCATATTGTGTTGTTGATCGGCCCCAGGGTTGATATTTTGGATCAAGCTCAAGAATCACTGTACAGAAACCAGCTCAGAACTTGTTTCAGACTTTTCCATGGAGCATAAATCTGTGCCACAACAGTTGAGATTTCCTTCAAATCTCTCGTTGCTCTCTGTGGATGACAATCCAGCCTGTACCCTGACATTTTAAACTCTCCATAAAAAGTTACCTATGACAGGTTCTCCTGACTCCAGGGATTTGAATACCAACAGCAGGGCTCAACAGTCAGCACCATTAAACCTGGTGATGTTTTCTTCCTGTGCTTTGTCACAAGGCCTCAGCCTCAAAAATAGGTTTGATCAATGAGCTGTCAAGACAAATTTGTCATTTTGATTTTTATTTGGTATCAAGACCAAAACACATTGTTAGAAAACAAAGACAAGGGAGCAAACTAAGTGCCCCACAGGACACTCTAATAAAAACAGTGCTTCCCATGTTCCAACAGGGAGAGGTATTTCCTTTACAAAAGGCGTGGTTTGCGTATTTCAGGACGCCTCCTTGCTGGTTCCAATCAACCTGATTGGAGGAGCAGGCAGAGGTTCCTGAGAGCCTGGCTCCTCCACGGGCAGTCTGAGGCCTGGTACTGGCTGCTCTTGCTTCCTCAGGGAGCCTGAAAAGAATCCTTTCCAGCAGGCCACTAATGCAGTGACTGCACATTTGGGAGGCTCAGGGCTTCCTCAGTAACGAAACTAAACAACTTTTTTCTTGAAGGATGGGATGCCAGGTTTCAAAGAAAAAGTTACCAGGGCAACCATTCCATCCACTGAAAACAGTTTTTATCAGTATAGGAGTTTTAATTCTTAAACAGTAAAAAGCTTTTCTAACAACAAAGCAAAATAGTACTGGTTAGGCCACTTCACACCATTTTACATACTGTATAGTTAGAAATTCACAGAATTTCTGCTAAGGAAGACACTATTATAATTTTTCTTTCACCTTTCAATGTTTTGAATTTCTCTCAGAGTTCCACAATTTATAATAGTAAATAAAACCACAGGCAATTAACATCCCAGCTGTATTCTTCTACCTAATAGTACTTTCAGCTCTCCACACCTGGAGACGAGGATATTTAAGGTGCTACTGGGGCAAAAAGAAGAATGTCAACCACGGCAGGGCACCTTGATGGCGCTGTCCCTTCCAGAGATTCAGGCCATGCACAGGTAACTTTTTTGTTCTAGGTTTAATGATACAAACACAGCAATCATACAACTGAAGGCTTCTGTGAAACTGGAGCTCACCCTGCCAGCAGAACTAAATGTAAATTTCTGTAAGACAGAAGGGGAGTGGTCTCTCATCAAGGCAATGAGAGACTCTCAAGGACTTCCATCAGCAGGTCAAGATAGAACCACAGCGCTTCAGCATCTTAGTAATGCAGTAGCATAGAAAAATACAAATAATAAGAGTAATAAAAGTAGAGTACATACAGTCAACATTAAAGACTGAAATGTTAAGTATTTTTTTTTTGACAGGCAGAGTGGACAGTGAGAGAGAGAGACAGAGAGAAAGGTCCTCCTTTTCCGTTGGTTCACCCCCCCATTGGCCGCTGCGGCCGGCGTGCTGCAGCCTGCGCACCGCGCTGATGCGAAGCCAGGAGCCAGGTGCAGGGCCCAAGGACTTGGGCCATCCTCCACTGCACTCCCGGGCCACAGCAGAGAGCTGGACTGGAAGAGGAGCAACCGGGACGGAATCCGGCGTCCCAACCTGGACTAGAACCCCGGGTGCCGGCGCCGCAGGTGGAGGATTAGCCTATTGAGATGCCGCAACGGCCTTCATGTGTTTTTGAGTGTGTGTCTGTGTGTGGATGTATGCAACAGGTCAAGGAGCATCGAGGAAGATGGCAGAAATGCAAAGGTATTGGCAGGACAGCAAACTGGCACCATCTGACGGCTGCAGAGAGCCCTGAATGCCTGCAGGAAATGTGGGGCACAGCACTCAGTCCATTCTTTTCATGACTGTAGAGTAATCGGCACACTTGGTCTAAGAATTTTGCTGCAGAAAAGCTGCAAATTTTTGAATATTATAAAAGGATTTGGTTTCTTTAATCTATTTTTGATAGTTGCCTTTCAAATAATTACATCTTTCAAAGAAACACAAATGTGTTTTTTATTTGTTCTTTCTTGGCAGTGTTTATGTATTGAAGTGCTTTAATCTTTTATTGCATGCTAGTGTCTTATCATTATTTAACTAGTATTTTCTCTGAATTATTTTTCATCTCTTCCTCTTAGATATTTACAGAACTGAGATTAAATATAAATGCAAGAAGCTGAACTGGCAGCATTTAAA